CTTGCAGTTCAGTAGTATCCAATGCACAGTACACAATGCTGTGATTTGTGAGTGGAGTGACTTGTCCGTCTGCGGCTTGTTTCATGTCATTTGCAGCGAGCAAATGTTTGCCTTGGAGTTCCTGGTAAATGATCATAACAGAACTGATAAATGGGTTCTTTTGACACCTTTTTAGATCACACCGGTTGTTTGAAACATTGTCTTAACCCTTGCATTGGGGCTACCCCACATTGCAAGGGTTAACTGCTCATTTTGGTCTAGCTGCAAAAATAAAAAAGTTATACTCACCCGATCCTCAGAACCAGTTTGTTCTTAGACCAGTCCTTTCCACCTTTCTCCTCCTCCTCCACTGCAGTGATGGTATGGCCCCCTGCATCCTCCCGTTCTATACACACTGTATAGAAAGTGATGACTCTGGGACGTTAGACCGCTGGGGCAGAGGAGGAGCAAGGCGGAATGGACCGTTCTAACAGCATGTCGGCTCTGAGGATCGGTTAAGTATAACTTTATTTGCACCCCTAGACAAAAATGAGCACTTAACCCTTGCAGTGCGGAGGTAGCCCCACTGTAAGGGTTAAGAAAATGTTTCTCTGGAGTTCTTCTTTAAGCCAGCTATACACTGGGCCAATTTTGGAGGGTGCTTGATGAACTTGCCGAAATTTACTCAGAGGGTGGCCCTTTCTGCCAGCTCCCATCCGACCTCCTTCATTTCGAAAGTTAAAGAACCTGGGCAGGAACTCGTCGGCCGAACAATTGCTTCATCCAGTCAGATGCAGGCACTGTTCAGGTATTCTGGTGGGGCCAACAGTCCCAATATAATAACATAGCTGCAATGTGATATATTGCAGGATACCAGTCCTCAGATGTGGTGACTGAATTTAGTTTTATTTTTTCAGATTTTTCCCTTTTTTTTTTTACGTGATAATCCTACACATAATGGTGGCACTAATCCATAGTATGTGATAATCCTACACATAAGACCCTTCCTGTCCCGGCATGTCTACACTTATCACTTATTTCTTCATTGTATCTATGGAGGCGGACTTACAACATGTCTGCCTTTGTTCATCTCCATTACATGATGGATGGATGGGACTAGCAGTTTACACAGTGAAGATTCTGCTTAACTTGCCTTAAAGGAGAACTATGAGGTGAGTGCTTTTCACTCACCTCATAGTTCTAGCCGACCTGTGACAATGAGACTGTCACAGGTCGGCTCACTAGAACGGGAGGTGAGCGAACACATACCGGCGTTCGCTCACCTCTGGATCCTGTCACAGCACTCTGCCGTGACAGGGGAGTGGCTGGATTCCCCCCTCCCCGCTCCGATCCACCAGCGCTGACTGGCGGAACGGACAGGGGAGGGGGCGGGTACAGCTGGCTCTGCCTCTAGATAGGCAGAGCCAGCTGTCACTCACGCAGTCGGCGGATCCAGACATAATTGTCGGGATCCGCTTCAGCTGTGGCGTCTCAGTATACCGCGAGCAGTAGCTTGCGGTATACTGTGGCGTCTCAGTGCGGTATACTGAGCTTAGGGTGACCGGAGGACGCTAGGTTGTGTCCTCCCGTTACCCTATGGAGAACTATGGGGAAAAGCCTTAACCCCATAGTTCTCCTTTTAAATAATGTCTCTTGATCCAATCATCTTCTTTCCGGTAGTTTTCCGGAGTCCCCCCAGCGCTGGTGCCGGTCTCTGATCCAGCGCTGACTGCTGTGTCTTCTGTGTCCCACGGTGTCTGTCCGTGTATTGACTTATCATTGCGTCTCACCTCTTCTCCTGGCCCATGATCTTCACGGCCGCTTGAGGATCTTCAGATCGGAGCGAGCGGCGGAGATGCAGGTAAGTAATTACCTATTTGGTAACTTTTTAATGTGTTTGCATATATCTACTGCTTGCTAGCAGTAGATGTATGCAACACAAAAAAAAAAGTGTTTAGCTCTATTTAAGGGAATCTGCTGACAGGAGTAGACAGCGGAGAATCCTAATCAGACACATGCTGCTCCTTTAGGCCCCATTCACACCTGACCGTTTTGTAGCGCGTTCTACGCTCGACGAACGCTCTACAAAACGGTCCAAAATATCAATAGCATTACAGTCAATGGTCTCGTTCCCACTTGTCCGTATTTCCGCCCGTCCCGAACGCACTACAAAACGGCCCACGCCTGAAAAGGTCCCGGGACTACTTTGGGCCGTTTTGTAGGGCATTTTCCATTTGGATACTGCCAAGTAGCCTTTGGAATCGCGCGACGGTCGCCCGACTTTTTTACCTCGAATCGCGGTAAAAAACCGCGTGACGGTCGCGCGACAGACGCGCATATTACAATACGCCTTGGTGTGAATGGGGCCTTAGTGCCCAGTCACAGGCTGGTGGGAAGGGAGGTGACCTTAGCTGCGTTGCTTAACTTCAGTAGACATAAGTCGGGGGACACCAGGCTTGCTGTGTTGCCTGGCCGGGCTGTGTAAATCTCAAGAATGGATGTGAAGAAAAGACAAGGCCTATATGCTGGATGTCCAGTACACGAAGATCTTCCAAAGAAATTTAAACTTTATTCCACATGCATCTATACAAAGAACAACCGCGGTTAAAGTTTGAATTTCTTTGGAAGATCTTCGTGTGCTGGTTCTACAGTTTTTGAGCCCATTACTCCAGAAGAGAGCCACCCGTGCACCGAGTGTGGATTGTAGGGGGGAGCTGTGCGCTGCGTGCTTTCAGTTTATATGCTGTATGGAATTATTTACCTGGAGCTCCACTTTACTTGAACCTGCCAGGCTGCTAGCATTTTTTAGAAGGACTTAAACAATGTTGAAGTTTCTCCGAGTACAAGCTTTCTATAAGCACTTTGTAGTATTGTCATATTTTTAGAATTTCCTCCTGTCCACGTCCAGATGTAATGCTCTGGCTTGTCACACCGCCGTTCTGTATTCTAATCACTTTCCTGTAATTCTGTTGGTAAAATATCTAATTAGTGTTTGCAGACTGAATCACTCTCACTTCTCGCACCTTTTTTTTTTCTTTTCTCTTTTTTTCATCGTTCTGTTCTCTTTATAATCATCTTGATTTGTTATTTGTACAAATCCACGAATCACAGAGAAGTAATTGGCCAATAATTTATGATGAGTGTACACAATTGTAACATTAACCATCCAAACCGGTTCTGCTCAGACAGGAAGCCGGTATACGCTTAGGACATTGTCCTGAGTCAGCAAAGGATTTTGGGTAATGGCACGATGCCAGTGAGTTTTACAGTCTTTTTAACGAGCCTGACAGAGGCGGGAGAAATTTAAAGGGCCAGCAAGGTAAAGGGTTAGCCCATGGAAAAATTATATTTTAGTTTCTGGCAGATTCTGGGGAGTTAAACAGATCCTGTTATGTTATAACATTTCTTAATCCAAGGAAATACCTTTAAGGAAGAAGGTACATACTTACCTTCCCTGCTGTCAATGTCCCTCATCTCTGCTCCAATGCAGAGAACTGGTCCTGCAAAGTCTGCCTGGAAACCTAAAGTTCCCAGGATGCCAATTTCCATGGTCTACTGCAATTCCCACTGGTTGTTCCCTGTGACCTCATGCCATATCTTAGAGGAGGGGGCCATAGAGATATGTCACTGCTTTATCCTTCAGTGACCAGTGGAACCATTGAGAACTGTGAGCGACCAAAGAGATGAAGTGTCACTACTTTATTCTACAGTGATCAGTGGAACCAGTCCAGTGAGGGACCATAGAGATCAGCCCTCTCAGAAGTGTCAATACTTTATCCTACAGTGACCAGTGGGACCGTTGAGAACCGTGGGGGATCATAGAGATCAGCAATCCCAGAAGTGTCACTACTTAATCCTACAGTGACCAGTGGAACCAGTCCTGTGAGGGACCATAGAGATCAGCACTCTCAGCAGTATCATTACTTTATCGTACAGTGACCAGTGGAACAACTGAGAACTGTGGGGTCCATAAAGATCAACAATCCAAAACCTGTCACTACTTTATCCTACAGTGACCAATGGAACCAGTCCAGTGACAGTTGTGAGGGACCATAGACACTTACACTCTCCAGAAATGTCACTACTTTATCCTACAGTGGCCAGTGGAACCATTGTGAACTATCTGTTACCATACCAACAATCACAGACATTTCACTACTTTATCCTAAAGTGACCAGTGGAACCAGTTCATTGAAAGCTGTAATGGACCATAGATATTATCAATCTCAGAAGTGTCACTACTTTATCCTACAGTGGAACCATAAAAAGCAATGGGGAACGATAGACATCAGTACTTCCAGAATGTTGGTTTCAAATGGACCTCAGGGGGCCATTTATCTGCAGCGGAGTAGCATTGAAAAGGTGGTTTCCTGCTGGTGGCAGGAAAGGTAAAGTTTTTAACATAACGAATCTCTATATAGACGCAGACTATATTGATGTGGTATCTGTATTTGGTACGTCCTGGATCTGCACAATTCCTTTGGCCTCTAAGTGGCGCTCACTCACCCTGTTGGATTTTTATTTTATGATGGAGAACAGGAGGAGCTGAAACGCACAACGTTCCCAGGTTACCAGAACCAGAATCGGGAATGGTGGCAGGGAGATCTCGCTGTTGGGGTATCCAACACATATATGGATCCAGAGGATGACTTGACCCTCCAGGGTCCACCTTTGAAAAAATATCAATTTTGTGTGGACTAACCCTTTAATACTAGACCTATACAAGCGCATCATTCTTGTTTTCATTTTCCTTGCAAAGGGAATGCTTTTTTTTTTTTTTTTAATATGGAACTTTGTTTTTTGTATAAGCAAAGCTAACAATCTTTGAAGACAGAGATATGGGAGCTGCCATTTCTGACATTAAAGGTGCAATTTCTGGGGCTGTCATCATGATCCAGGGATTATCACCCTGTGAGGCACTCTCCTCAAACAAGCATGGGCCTTGAAAGGTCTGCCTTGCTGATTTGCATTGTATACATCGTCCGGTTTTGTAATTATTCCTATCCCTTTTTGTTTTGCAGTGCTGCTAAGGGAAGAGGTGTCGCAACTGCAGGATGAGGTCCACTTGCTCCGACAAATGAAGGAAATGTTAGCAAAAGACCTGGAAGAGTCACATGACAGCCGGTCGGCAGAAGTTTTGTCTGTTACGGAGCTGAAGGTGCAACTGGTGCAGAAAGAGCAAGAGTTGGCGAGGGCAAAGGAGTCATTACAAGGTGAAGTGTCTTGTGTGCTCCTCAGTGAGCCTGCTCTGTAACAATGCATGGGCTGTCAAGATTGACATATAGTGGTACCAGGCTTCGCTAAATTTAATTTGGATCTCAAAAATGATCATTTAAACCATTTACCACATTCCCTAATGTTCCTACATACATCTACATCTAGTGGCTGTAACCATAGCCCACAGAGGGGGTCCGGCATGCAATAATTCTGGGAGATTGCTGATGTTGAGGAATTTTCAGTCACCATAGCCCTGCAACAGAGATCAACGCTAAGGGTGGAGGGACAAGTTAACTGTATAGCAACCTGCCTGCAGGAAGGCCAAGTCCACTTTTTGGACTATGTCTCTAATGTTTTGGGTGTAACATGGTTGAATACCCCATCCCCAAAATCCACACTGCCTCCCCCTTGCAGGATGCATCTTCCTGGTGAATCCACAGTTTGGTAATGTGGCTGTGTGTGGCTCTGCCTCCATCAAGGTGTGGGAACAATGAATGGAAAATGCGGTAGTGTGACTGTGCAAAGCTTGGCATGAATACCTCCCCCTGATCGGTGGTTCTGTACCGACCTGAGGTTGGGGGAATACATTGCAAGAACAATGACTGTGACAAAACACTGATCATAGGTGCAATGCCCTGCAGGCTTCATTGCAAGAAAGCAGTAAATGAACATTGATTATAAGTTCAATTTTGCTGCATTTACTTTATTTTTTTTGCAAAAAGGTGGAGTCACCCTTTTAACAATATAGGCAACACTCGAATTCTGTTTGCAGACATTGTTCATCCTCAACAGAACTCCCATTTTTTTTAACCTTAGTGTTTAGCCAATTGATGGCCATTTTTTCTTTTTAATTTTGCATCGGATTCGCCGCTTTCGAAGCTCAACTGTAGTTTAGCAACAGTTGGAGACCCAGCTGCTGCCTGCAATTACTTACATTCTCATGACTGTCATTTGCACATTATGGTATTAGTGCAGCCATTTTAAAATCATAAGTCATAATCTGACTGCCCGTGAAGGGATCATGTGACTCTTCACCTCCGTGTGAACTGGATTTCCCATGAGCCTCAGCAAAGATTTGGCTGCTGTGTAAAATCCGGGTTCCCACTGCTGTGTAGCACTTTGCATGCAGAGCCTAAGCTGTCGCTATTGTAGAAGCTCATGGTGAACAGGTGCACAGGATGTGCAATGAATACCCTGGAGGCAGCTATTGAATTGGAGCTTGGAACAATAGTGTCACACACACTCGAGAGGTAGCATTCATTACTAATGCACTTCATGATATTGCAGCGTGGTGAAGTGAATACGTGCAGCTTCCAGGTTGATTGCGAATGCCATAAAGTGTTATGACTGGCCCCACCGCAGCTATAACAGTTGTAGAACACCCCTGTACGTTGTAAGAATGCAATTACAAGGTTATGTGATGATGATAGGCTTTGGAACCTTTTTTTCCCCAAATTGTATTTGTGAAGGCCAATGATCATCTAGTCCGAGGCTAACACTAAAGCTACGCAAGCTACAAAGCCTATCCCCAGTGAAAAAAAAAACTACCTTTGCAGTGGGACTGCCTCTGCACTAGAAGGGATAACTGCTCGATTTTGTATAGGGGTTCTGTAAGGGACTTTTTCGTACCTGATCCTACGGGCTCCAAGACTGGCATCTGCAGCCTCTTACCCAACTGCCCTCCGGCCATTGGGGGCCCACTGATGTCATCATATCTAGTGCAGGGCTTATAGCCCTGCTTTATACAAGGGGAGGCCAATAAGTTCTTACCCTCACCATGATCTGGATGTGCTAGGGATCTGACATTTTGCAGGTTTCTAGGTGGATATCTTAGTAATATGCATGCCATTTTTGTTTTTGTAGGTCGTGGTAAATTCTAGTTCAAGCCAAGAGAAATGGAGTAGGTGTCATGCCGGACAAAGTTGAATACCGAGCTCAACTTTCGCCACCACACTTGGTTCTGTGGCAGTTGACGGGCGACCTTCCTTCCCTTGGGTCATCCTGTATATTTGTGCGACCACACTGGAATTCTCTCTTCCATCGTCTGACAGTCTCATAATGGACAATACTCTCTATACACAGCTGACCTCTCTTCATGGATTATTTGGGCAGATTTCCCTTGAAGATGAAGGAACCTAATCACGGCTCGGTATTCAACCATATCTGGCATGACACCTACTCCATTTCTCTTGGCTCTAACTATAATTCACCACGACCCACAAAAAAATTGGCATGCATATTACTAAGAAATCCACCTATAAACCTGCAAAATTTCAGAACCCTAGCACATCTAGATCATGGTGAGGGTAAGAACTTATTGGCCTCCCCTCGTATGTAAGGACAGTCCACAAGCCAGAGCGGAGTGGAGATAGGTGAGTGACTACTGCTGGGGGAGTTGGGGCCAGGTAAGTAAAAGACCTTTACACAATACCCCCAGACATAAACCAGCAGTTAGCCCCCAGATAGGCTTTGAAAAGCCTAGGCAAAATAAAATGGAAACAAATATTTACTAAGAACATCTCTCCAACACGAGCACATTTCCCTGTTTTATTCCTTTAAAAAATGCTTCAAGTACAGAAAATTACATGTTGATCTTCCAGAAATCCAGTGTGCTCCTAACTTCCTGTTTGGGCTGTCCCTGCGGGACGGAAATACCAAAGAGTGTTGTTAGCCCTGCCTGCTAGTCTACAGAACTCTGCCTGTGTCCCATTTTTAACATGTATACATTAAGTTATTTCCAAGCAAGACAGTGCTGAATTCTAGAGCCTGCCCATGCACTGTGTGTAGGAAAAGGGCTCGTGGGAGATTTAACTCTGGGGGACAAGCCTACATCATTAGGAACTCAGCTTCCAGCAGCTGCCCCTGCAAGAATTTTACAAGCCTGATGATGATGTCAAAGGGAGTAATAAACTTTTTCTCACTGCAGAAACAAGGGAAAAGCAAAATAAATACTGTTGTTATATGCTCGGGGGTTACGAAGGGTTTGAGGGTAAATTTGGAGACTGTCTGGAAATACAGTTTAAATAATAAGTGCATTTTTAGACAAGGTGCACTTATGACAATTGCCCTTCTCTCCTCACCCAAACATTCCCACTATTGCCCTCTGCTGCAGATTTATATTTATTGAGATGAGGGCCGCTGCTCCGCTGTTTGTTGACATTCAGCACTTCAAGTCTTCCTCTCCTGGCCACACATGTCTTCCGCGAAGGAGATGGCCCCATAGAAGTCTATGGGGCTGTAATGTGCAACTGCGGCCAGCAGAGGGAGCATTGTGGCACTGGATGTAAACAAAATTCTGGATCTTGGTAAGTACAGATCTGTGGGAGGGGGGATTCATAAGTCCTTTTGGTTGTAGAGTGCATTTATCTCTTATGCTCCTGCTGCTCAGTGATTTAACCACTTGCTGGTAGTCACTTCGTTTGGCTAGACACAGGAGATTTTTAGTAGCTCCTTCCTGCCAATAAAATTGTTAACGACTAATCTCACAGAGTAGAAGTTGATCACTAAACAAATGGAACAAGTGGCTCCCGATGGAGTAGGCTAGGAGAGCAGCTAGTAGCAACATCTTGTAGTCCTCATTTTCACATGATTGGAGCTTTGTGCTATTGAGCTACTACAAATCTCCTGTGTAGCACTGGGCTAATGATGTAACATCCAGCAAGTGGTTAAATCTCTCAAAAGCAAGAGATTAATATTACCTGTGTAGTTTAGCTCTTAAACTGTTTTCCCCAGTGTGATATGCTGTATTAAAAATAGAGTTCTTTAGGGATTTTGCTCCACGCTAACTCGATAGCATCACATAGTCAACCAAGATTTATTGGCCGCACATTGATTCTATAAAGCTGAACTCCAGGCACATGGTAAGATGAAATAAACAATGACTCCAGTTATGTATTTAACAAACATTAAATTTATTTTTAATTGAAAGTAATGTAAATACTTGAATTTCATCACAACCTCTGATTTAAGACAGCAGCACCCTAACTTGGAAAGGGACAGGCAGCATTTAGGGCCAGTTATATGTCCTGCATGCACATGTGCTGACAACGAACATGCCGACTGGAGGAGAGAGTAGAAGGATGACCTTAGTAATATGTTGCTACTTCTTTTCTGTCCAGTTACAGTGTGGGAGTGGGAAGGGGGCCTGGTATTGCCTAACTGCAGTAGAGAATAGTCAGGTCACAAGAGTGGTGATGTTATTTGGTAAGGCTGTTAAATTCCTGAACTGGATGCACAGAAATGCAAATCATTTGGTAGGTAAAACTGCTCCCATGTGGTATCCGGGTGTGTGTTTAGTGGTTTAAAGAAGAATTCTTAAAGAAAAGGAAAATAAGTTATACTCACCTGAACCTCAGAACCTGTCTCTTTCTCCGCTCCAACGATGGAATGTGCCTCCGAGTCTTCACTTTCTATACACTGTATGCAACTTGATGACTCACAGAACCTTAGACCGCTGGAGCGGAGGGGGAGCAAGGCGGCAGGGACCGGTCTAAGGCCTTGTTCACACCAGACACAGTGCGTTCCGGCCCGATTCTGGCCAGAACACACTGCATCGCATTGCGGCCGGCTCACTATGTTGGGGGGCAGGAGGGGGAGTGACGGTCCATTGAAGTGAATGGCACCGTAGCCACGCCCTTCCGCCGAATGCGATCAGCCGCACGGGATCGCAAGGCACATTATGCCTGCGGTCCGGTCCGAACAAAATAGTGCATTTTGTGAGTGTGGCCTAAGAACAAGCCAGCTCTGATTATTTTAGCACCTAGACAATAATGAGCACTTAAACCCTTGCAGTTTATGTTTAGGTTTAAGTTGACCTTTAACCTTTTCATCTCATCTCAAAGGTGCTATAGTGGATGAAGACCTTCTGACCACTATCTGAATGTCATGGCGGAAATTGAGATCTGCCCGAGTGGGCAATGTTTGTGCAGCCATCAGTTGTCCAATACTAGTAGACTCCAGCTCCTTTTTCTGTCCTTAACAGGCAGGAATGGAACCC